CTCCTGAGGTTCATCCTTCAGTCCAAGGTTAGACAGGTTTATAGGGCCAATAATAACACATGTGAGGAACGTGCTTTGTAGTTCAATCATGTATATGGGACTAATAGGCACATCAACCTAATAGCAAAGACGAGAAGGCAGGAAGGGACAGGAAAACTGGATGAATGGAAACAGGGAACCCGGAGTGGAGAAGAGGAGAGTGTTGACACACGGTGGGGATGACAACCAATGTTACAAAACAATTTGTGTATTAACTGTTTAATGAGGAACTAATTTGCTCTGTAAACTTTCATCTAAAGCACAATAAAAATAAACACTAAGCAAATCTGAATAAAATATGAACTTTAGTTAATAGTAAGTGTCAATGTTAGTTTTTCAATTGTGACAAACATACGATACCATTAAACCCATTGCCGTTGAGTTGATTCCAACTCACACTGACCCTAAACGACAGAGCAGAACTGCCCCATAGGATTTCCAAGGCTGTAAATCTTTATGGAAGTAGACTGTCACATCTTTCTCCTACAGAGAGCCCTGTGGGTTTGAACTGCTGACCTTTTGGTTAACAGCCGAGCACTTAACCACTGCACCACCAGGGCTCCTAAATATACCATACTAATGTAAAATATTAATAAGAGTGGAAATTAGATGTGAGGTACACAGGAACTCTCTGTACTATCTTCACAAGTTTTCTGTAAATCTAAAACTGTTCTATAATAAAAAGTTTATTTAAAAAACATGGAACTAGACTTCAAGACTGTTAATGAGGGAGAAAGACAAGTGAATAAAGATTGTGGCACAGTATTGTAAGTGGGGTACACAGGATTCAACAGAATTCAGACTGCAGGATGAGAAGAGGCAGGCCACCACAGTGGCAGGGGTGGTGTCCAAGAATAACGGAAAGCTATAGACAATGTGTGAACAGTTAGAGAAGGCTAAAAATATTGCTGTGCATCAGAAAGGTCCTAATTGAGGTCATCAGCATAAATTTTGACCAGGAACAGCCAGGCCAGATGAGCAACTTTCTCTTAGCAACCAGGACAAGAATAGAGAAAGCTGGTGCTATGACTGACCCAGATAAGGAATCAACACAGTTTCTGGAACAATCTATTTTGATATAAACCATGATAAATGCACTTTCTCCTTGTTCAAACATTCCTCAAGATTCATTGTTCTATGAAGCCTCCTCTTGAATGTCCCCTTGTCTCCTGGTTCCCACATTCTGCAATTTTTACTTTGAAAAAGATCAATAATAATAATTCATAAAATCCTGATGTTTGGCTGAAGGAAAATTCTTAAATAAAAGGACTGGAGAAGCAAGATATAAATAAGTCAAAGAAACCCAAAAGGGGTAGATCATTTTAGTATATCCTGCCATGTAAAGATAACATTTCTCCATTTTTCAATAAGACATTTAAGAAAATGTCTCCAGTTTTTACAAGGATCCAAGGGTCGGAGGAATAGAACTCTAGGGTTTATCTGCCTCCCTGGTCATCACAGGCAAAATAGCTGAGAATACCTAAATAAGAGAGAGAAAGAAAAAAAAAAGTTTCTGTCAAGTCTATTCTGATTCATGGCAACCCCATGTGTTTCAAAGTAGAACTGTGCTCCACAGGGTTTTCAGTGGCTGTAATCTTTTGGATGTTGATCACCAGGCCTTTCTTCTGAGGCACCTCTGGGTGGATCATCAGCCTTTCAGTTAGCAGTTGAGTGCTGAACCATTTGCGCCACCCAGGGACTCCTTAAAAATGAGAATATACTGCAAATAATGACACCAGTCAAACTGGATGAATATAAAATAATCATAATAATACATATCTTGCCCTTGGGTAGCACTTTTTATAAGGCATTTTCCCACGTATTATTTCATACAAGTCTAACAAAAACCTTGCGAGGTAGGCAGAACAATTATTAATAATCTCATTTTACGTATGAGATAGTGGTTATCAGAGACCTCAAATGGCCTGCTGGGGTCTCCAGCTCAGCAGTGGTGGAGCCGGGAGTAGAACCTGCACATTCAGGCTCTCGGACCTGTGCTTGTTTTCATTATGCACAGTGCCTAGTATAAACAATCAGCAGACGTAGACAAAGACAACTTAGCTAATCACAAAAGGCATATATATGAAAATTTACATATTCAATCTTCTGTTATCACCACCGTATAAAGTGAAGGACGGTTATTATGTAAGAAATACTAAAGTATTGATGAGAGAAACAGAGAGAGAGAAAGAAACTTAGAAGTATAGGAGCTTTTTAGTTTGACCTTAAGTTATTCTTAGACTAGAAATTAGGGAAATTAAGCAGGCAATATATAGATCTTAAGAAGAAAAAAAAACTACACATCTGGATCATTACGTTCTGTTCCGAAACAGCTGAAGAGCAAAGGAAAGTACAAAAGAATGTTACAGAAATCGGGAGCTAAAACTTGTGAGAAACGGAGTGGTCTAAATTTATATAGTCTAAAACATGAGTCAAAGAGACATAATCACAGCCTATAAATATCCTCTAAGCAGCAATACGTGGCAAATAAAGTAAGTGAATTATTCACAACCTTACGTTCGGGTCATTTCTCTTTGTCCAGTTGTCTAAGCAAAACAATGCTTTAGACCTACGCTGATGTCACACTCAGAAATTAAAACAGCCAGAGTTCCTCTTCGGGCTGGGTGATGCTGTAGATACCCAGGGTATAGAAGAACCACAGAGAATGGTCTCCCTGGACTCTGCACGTCATTAGGAATTTGACTGCACAGCCACATCACCACACAGTATTTTAATTTCTCCTTCATCTCTGATAAGGAATAATAGAGAACAGACTCAAGACAAAAAAAAAAAAGTTTAGTTACTGGCCCACCTGATGGAAAGAACAAATGAATGCTGAAGTGGACCGTGAACAGTCAAGTATAAATAAAGGTGTTCTGCTTTGATTATCAGGAGATATCCTGGTACTGAATCTCATGAAAGGCATACGAGATTGCAGTCAGGACATTCGTACCAGATCTGTCACTTAAACTGTTGCGTTTTAGTTTTCTCACTGTCATAAGACGATGATATTTGTCTTACCTTGTAGATTGCATTTTAGATACCAAAGCATTTTTAAATACCACTGAGAGTGTGGAGTCCTGGTGGTGCAGTGGTTAAGAGCTTGGCTGCTAACCAAAAGTCACCAGTTTGATTCTACCAGCCACTCCTTGGAAACCCTGTGAGGCAGTTCTACTCTGTCCTATAGGGTTGCTATGAGTCGGAATCGACTCAATGACAATAGGTTTGGTTTTTGATCTGAAAGCTGTGCAAAATGCAAATTATTAATTATTATCATTATTATGATTTCCCCAGATTATATGCTTCAAAAGAGTCATTTTTCACAAATATTTTTTCCATATGATAGTTTTCTGCCTTTTAAACATTTTTAGGTTTTCTAAGACAATCTCATTATCTCCATATAAGTCACAAGTCATTTCAAAAGCCTATCTGCTCCTAGTACTTAAAGCAGCCTGAGCTGTTTGAATATCAGCGGAGATGACCCTGGGCAGGTCCCTGATGGACATACAACAGCCCTCTGTCGAGTGATATTTAAAATATCAGGAGCTCTGCAAATACAGCATGCTCGATTCATCCACAGATACATCCAAATCCAAGCAATTTTTTCCATTGTCTTCCCAAGCACGATTTTTTCTAACCGAGTAGACAAGCTGCCCACATTATTTTCACTTGGCTTCATTTCTTATGCAGATGGGGAAGCAAGGAAGAGGAGAAGCGACACAGGCTATCTGACAAGCAGATATTTAGTCTCTCAGTGGGCAATAGTTCTTTGTTAACATATTAACAGAGACCATGAATTGTGTCTAGTTGATATCTTAGGATGTTTATATACATAGCATGGTCATACCACCATATACTACATTGCATGATTGTAAACTGGCAATGAAGTGATTCACTGAAGTGCTTGCTAAAGGTTACTTGTCATGATCATGGCCTGTCAGCTGTGTGAACTGGTTTGTAGGTTGGAACAATGAGTGCCCAGAGGAAAGTGTCAATCACAAAAAGACAACTGTAGTTCTGTGAGAGGATCTGGGGCTTGCTTTTAGGATCGCAGTGATGGTAGCCTAGTGCTTCTCAAATGATCTTCTTTTCCTCGAGGGGAGCCCAGGAGTACTACAACTGAAATGGGGTCTTTGTAATAGTATCACCCCCAAGGGATATTACAGTGAAATACCTAATAGACCTAATAAATACCTTAAAATAAAGGCAGAAGGTCATACAGTATTCCTGTTTACACACACACACACACACACATACACACACACACACACACAAATGTTAAAGTAAATGGAATTTTATCCATCACAATTGCAAAGTTTATAGAAAACACAAATCAGGATGCAGGTGTTGTCTATGCTAACATCCTATAAAGAGAAATCAGCAGAGCTTCAACCTCTATTGAATGCTTTCCTTAGGTGGTGGAATTTGCCAGACCTGCAATATTAACGGAATTCTGGAAATTGGAAACAAAAAGCTAGAGTCTACTGGGAATGATAGGCTCAAGACGAACTCAACTGGAAAATTTGGCTAACTCAAAGTGACATCCTTTGTGCTGGAATTTTTCTCTCTGAAAGCATTAAAAAAAGGCTGTAATTATTTCAAGTTTTCAATTCAGCCTTTTTCAGGCTAGGCCTTTTATTTTCTTCACTGCTCTGTGCCTTTCCTCCATGTGAATCCGGGAATTTGCCAAGCACTGAAGTGGTAAATTCATACTGGTTTGATACACATATCAATGTCCAGGGAATGGTAAACAACACAACTTTTGCATCCTCTGTGCCAAGATAAACAAAGAAATATTTGTACATCAAAACTTTTTTCTTGTGCACAGGCTCAAAATACCTGAGCATTGCTAAATAAATCCTCTAAGAGGGAATGGCTGTTTAAAGCCAATGCATAATCCCTTTTCAAGTTAGTGCTTTTTCTCCACGTTGAAGCCAAGGAATACAAGAACTCAGACTTACCTTGTGGCTTTTGGATCCCAAATCACAATGTCAGCATCTGATCCTACAGCTATTCTTCCTTTTCTTGGATAGAGATTAAAGATTTTAGCTGCATTTGTGCTGGTAACTGCCACAAATCGGTTTTCATCCATTTTACCACTATGCTGTAAAACAATTTGTTTTAGTTATCGAGTGCTGCTATAACAGAAATACCACAAGTGTGTAACTGACAGGGTTAAACTGCTCCTCCTCCTCCCATCACAGCCAGGATCTGTGAGTTCCTGATAAGGCATTCTGTGTAGCAGCTCAAGGCCTTCGTACTGCTTCTCTGCTCAAGGTTGCTTCACTAACCACCCCCTCCCCATTTAGACATGAGCAATAAGCTGCAAAGCATAATACCCCCCCAAAAAACACATGCCCCCTAGCCACCATATTGCACCCCCCACTGAGCCCCCATGTTAATTAGCTCCTGGAATTGCCCACCTATTCCCAGAAACTTCATGAATTATGTATAAGTTCCCTATCCCAAACCCTATAACTTCCCTAGAATCCCCAACCTCAGGGAGCTTCATTTGAGACTTAGACTCCAAGCTCCCTGCTTGACCGGCTTGCAATAAAGTTTACTTTCTCTTTCTCAAAGGCCTGGTGTCTCTCAGTTGACTCGAGGAGTCGCACTGGGCAGGACCCATCCTCATTGGGTTACAAGTGGATGGCTTTAACAAGCAGAAATTTATTCTCTCACAGTTTAGGAGGCTAGAAGCCAAGTTCAGGGCACTGGTTCTAGCGGAAGGCTTTCTCTCTGTTGGCTCTGGGGGAAGGTCCTTATTCCCTGGCTCTTTGGTGATCTTCATGTGGTACATGTCTATCTTCCCACATCTCTGCTTCTAGCTTGCTTGTTTAATCTCTTTGTATCTCAAAAGAGAAAGCCTCAAGATACACCCTACACTAATCCTGCTCATTAACATAACAAACACAACCCATTCCCAAATGGGATTATAACCACAGGCATCTAAACCATAGAGTTGATTCAGACTAATAGCCACCCTACAGAGGTTAGGATTTACAACACATATTTTGTGGGGGCACAATTCAATCCATAACACAATTCAAGGAAGAAAATGCATTTGTTCTAATGATCAAACACTTAAAAAAAAAATCTCCTATTGATATACAAGACTTGCATCTCTTAGAACCAAAGAGATCTACACCTACTTTCTTATGCTGTGGAGGCAAACACATCTGTGGATACTGATAAGTCTTAAATAATCATAATGATAATGATGATGATGTGGTAACATATGGAAGCCTGAAGATGACTTTTCAAAAACCTATCAGCTTGAAAAAGCACTCCCACTAATTCTGCCATCCTTCCCAGAATCACACAAGACTGCAGTGCGTGACAACTGAATGTTGGCGACTGTGTTTTCAATTCTCTTTTAAATTATACCACTACCATCTACTACATTTATGATCTGGTTTATTAATTGCAGACCTAAGATTTATGAAATACTTATGGAGACATTAAACAGAATATTATAGAGTTAAAATTAGATTGATCTTTAAATCAGGTGGCAACACTTTTAGAAAGAGGAAAAAACAACTCAAGAGGCTCAATTTTGAGCAACTGAAGTTTACATGAATCAACAATCATGGACAGTCTATTGCAAGGGGTTTTAATATGGACAGACTTTGAGAGGATGTGACCCCTCTAAAATGATAAATAAATGGTTGAAAGTTTATACCTATGTAAACTTATCTGGTAAGAGCATCTTTAAGGTTTATTCAATTATCAAAGATCTCCTGTCTCAACAAATGATTAAGAACCATGGCCTGAAAGGAATATTCCCATAAGTACACCATCTTAATGTTTCAGAAAGTAACATGGTTCCCTGTATGCTATTAAGAAATATTCAATCACTTTGAAGCCTTCGTATACTTGGGAACTGTAATAGATTATGATCTGCAGTAATGAAGATACTCATTGTAATAACCCAAGTTCAAAGAACTGTTACCAGGAAATCTAAGCAAAGAGAAGAGAAGTTGTCTGGAACAGTTAAGAGTTAGGATGGAGGAAGAGGAGGATTGAAGAGGATGTTAGCAGAAGACAGGGCTAGAAAGATGTTTTGAAAATCCTTATATGTAAATGAATTATTCAAATATTATCCTATAAGTAATGGAGAAACTTAAAGGGTTTTAGAGAGGAAAGTTGCATGTACAGAACATCACGTTTGAAAGGCCACTCTGGTACTGGAGTATGGAGTAGACTGCAACAATGAGAGACTGGAGGCAGGGCAAGTTGTGAGGCTACTGCAATGGTCCAAACAGAACATGGGCCTCAACCAGAGTGGCTGTCATGAAGATGGAAATAAGGAGGCATTTTGGAAATGAAATTAACAAAAATTAAGGCAGGTGGTATGGGTAGAGGAAAAGTAATCAAAGAGGATTCTGCGGTCTGAGATACGATTATGTGCCATCCAAGAGAGAATTTCAGGGAGATCAGTGAGAAAGGCCTGTCAACTGGCTGGACAGGATAACACAGGGACATTTAGCCATCTGATTCTTCTCCATTCTCAGAGAAACAAGTTTAAAGCATGGGAATTTTAAAAATTTCTCTTTCTAGATGTTAAATTATTATTTATGTGACCTCATACAGGAGTTTTTAAAATATGATATCCAAAGGTTTTTAAAAGGGACACCTATAAAGATTTCATGAAAAGGAGGTCTGAACATAATAAAAATTCTTCAAGTATTTTGTATCATTTCAAGTATTTGCTCCAGTGACATATGAGACTTTTGGATTCAAGAACATGAGAAATCAAGCATAAGAGCTATAAAATTTAAGTCTTGAATAAGAGCCCTTTTGGTGTCCAGTCTAAATTCATCCCCTAATGTCTCTGCAAAATGTTGCAATGCATCCTGTAAACTAAATGAAGAAAAAAATTATTTCTTTGCTCATACTATCCTATGGGAGAAGGGAAGACAGTGTTGAATTCCCAGACTTTACCCTAGTAAAAACAATCAAAAAGCTTCTCTATAAATGTTTGAGGGTCCCTGGGTGGCTCAAATGGTTTACACTCAACTACTAACCTAAAGGCTGGTGGTTTAAATCCACCCAGTGGAGCTGCAGAAAAAAGCCCTGGCAATCTGCTTCCATAAAGATTACAGTCAAGAAAACCTATGCAGCAGTTCTACTCTGTAACACATTGGGTCGCCATGAGTTGGAATCAACTAGATGGCAATGTGTTTTCTTTGTTTTGTTGTGAGTAAAGGTTTATGTCACTCCAGTGACAAAATAGGTCAGATCCTGGCTGACAAATTAGGCAAAATGGGCTGGATCCTATGAAACTTACCACGCCTTTTTCCCATATTACTGACATCCGGTCCTCAACACCATTTACCCCATTGGGAATCTTTGTAAAATCATCCTTCCCAAGAGCTTTCTGGCAGGTGTTGAAGGTGCAGTGGTCAGTCCCTGTTGTGGTTAGATCATCGCTGTAAAGAGAAAAACACACAAGTGTGATGGGGATGAGCAGATAAAATAGATTAGGAGGAAAATTCAATAACCTTTCCCAGTCTCCTGACTTCTCAACTGAAAGTCAGAAAAAGGCAATGTAAAGCAAGTAGCTTTTTGAAATACATATATCACCCCATTCTCATCTTTATTCTGGGATTTGTTTTCTTGCTCTGCTGAAGAAGTACTTTTAGACATACTCTTAGAAGAACCTGGGTTCTAGGCCCAACTCCATCACTTACCAGTTCTGTGCTCATGGGCTTGTTTAAAACTCAGTTTCTCATCATTAATTGACAATTATACTTACTTAATGAAGATTATTAGAATCACTAGCAATAATACACATGAAAGTTCCATGTGAGTAGAGTACTATGTAAAGATATCACTACGAGGATCCATGTGAAGAGAGGGCAGGTTCACCAGGGTAACCCTCTGGCCACATGGCAACACTGTGATGACCAGATATGTGAGATTGGCTGAGAATGTTGATGTCTCCAGGGACAGGAATCCTGCTTTGACTTGAGAATAGTCTTGGAGAGGTAGAAGCATGACGGAGGAAGGAAGCTGAAAGGAGAGGCAAGTTAACACTTGTACAGTCTGTAGTGAAAAGTCCTCTGTACACTTGAATCTGAGTATCTGTGAAAGAGGAGTGTCAGGATGTCTGTGAATGGTAGAATTCTCAAGAAAAATTGTCAGAGCCTCCCAGAAAATAACAGAGTTTCCTATATAATAGGCACATCTGGTTCCAGGTTACATCAGCATAGAAAAAAAATTCAAGAGTATTTTGATAAAAATAGGCATAATGAAGAGCCCAGGCTCTGGGCAAGAACAATTAGAAAAGAGAAGGAAAAAATCAGGAGAGTACATTTCAGTGAAAATAATCTGATTTCTCTGTGTCCAGGAGAAGTTTTGACAATGTATCATCATTAAGCCAATCCCTTTTGGTCTCCAGGTGAGTGACTCTCCAAGCAGAAGGGCATCCTGGGAGGCCAATGAAAGCTCCAGACAGGAGGACAAGATCTCCTCACTCGGACCTGAGACTCATAAAGCACCTGACTTTGACAAACTACTTCACAATCATCTGCAAAATAATTACTTAGCCAATAGATTCATGAGGAAATCAGGCGTTGAGGGGTCTGGCCGCAGGGGTGGACCCATGACATGGTGGGCCGCATGGTGCCATTCTTTATTCCAGTAGTGAGTGCCGTCTGTGCCAAGACTTGCTGCTATGGGTTCTCCATAGACCACCTTCCCTGGAAAGTTCAAAGGAGGCATTCAGCACCTTAATTTGCACTTAAGAGAACCATCTGACGAAGACCTAAACATTAGTTTTTTCTGTCCTAGCAGAGGATAATATGAATCACAAACTATAATGTAGTCTTGAGACCTAGTGTTTGCTGAATGAGCCCTGGTGGCACAACGGTTAAGTGTTCAACTGCTAACTGAAAGGTCAGCAGTTCAAACCTACCCAGCAGCTCCGTGGGAGATAGACCTGGTGATCTGCTTCTGTCTTCACGGAAAAAATCTTTCTACAGTCAAGAAAACCCTGTGGGGCAGTTCTACTCTGTCACATTGGGGTTGCTATGAGTTGGAATCGACTAGATGGCACCCAACAGTAACAGTGTTTATTAAGCATTTACTATGTTCCAGTCAATGTGAACTGCATGTTGTAGAAGATTATACTACCCACCTCACTGATATCAGGCTTAGCCACTTAACTTGCTTTGGCTAATTAAATATGAATGGAAGTGACATTGCAGCTTCCAAGCAGAAGCTGTAAAAGCCATCATGGGATTCTGCCATCACCATTTTCCCTCTGTTATGAGACCTGCTGTCCCAGACAGGGATTGCTCCTTCAGCTGTGTCCCAGAATGAAGAGGATATAGAGCAGAGCCAGAGTCAACCCACACTGGACATGAATATGAATGAAAAATGAATCTTTATAGTTGCAAGCCACTCACATTTTACATGCATCTGTTACTGCAGCAAACCTAGCAAAACTGGCTGATACATGTGCGATTCTAATTGAATCTTCTCAAAAACCTGAGGGTTAAATAATTTCCATACAATTACATTACATACACTCCACATAAGTAAACTGGAGGAGGTAGGATTTGAAGCCAGGCATTTTGACTCCAGTGGTCCTAACTACCCTGATGACAGATAACTATTAATATAGGTCACATGGAGTTCAACCACTGCATATCTCTGTTGCAAATAGACTCATGATATTTTCACATTCTTTAAAAAAACTCCTCAAAAAACTTACATTAAATAAAAGAACACTCAGATAATAAAACTGTAGCCAGAATTGCATATTTAAAAAATCATGTAAATGAGGGCATCAGAAGCGCACAATGTTAGAAAAGTTAATAGTGCATTTGAATTTAAAATCAGAATCCTATCTCTGATTAGCATTTGTCAGAATAATAGATTCACTGGCATCAACCGGATCATATCCAGCAGTCATAAAGGTGGGTGCATGTTAAAGAGATGCCGGCATACCAGATGAGCTCACTCTGGTTAATCAAATGCCAAATTTCAGTTAAAATCCTGATCTATAACTGAAAATAACTGATTTCCTCAGAGAGTACTGCAAGTGTATGACCACCAGCTGCCTGAGTCATATTAAATTGGAATGTAGCACCCTATTATCTCACAGACAATTTTTTCCCCAAACTAGCCATCTTCCTTTAGCTAAACTAGGAATTTAAAAGCCTATGAACTGAGGTCTATTGAGGCCTAAGAAACTTGACTTCTGAAGGAACCAAGTTATCCCTCAGAGACTGAGGGCTGCAATTGCTAAGATCCTTCATTTTCATGTTGCACACACATTAGGTGAATTCCATTTCCCTCCTATTTCTTACTATCCTTTTCCCAGAAAATGGGAAACACCATTAGCATCTCTCTCTGGAGTACAGAATAAGCAGCAATCATTTTTAATGTGACCTAAGGGCACTGTGGGAGTCCCTGGGGGTGCAAATGGTTAAGCGCTGGACTATCAACCGAAAGACTGGTGGTTCAAACCCACCCAGAGGCACCTTGGAAGAAAGGCCTGGTGATGTTTCCTTGAAAACCCTGTGGAGCGCAGTTCTACTGTGCAACACATGGGGTCGCCATGAGTCGGAAGTGACTCTACAGCAACAGGTACTGGTAAGAGGTAATGTACTATCTACTGGAAAAGCAGCAAGATGAACACAATATTTTATTTGCAGGTACAAAGACACCTTCCTGTTGCAAGAGAGCTCCTTATAGATGCTTGGACAAGGAGAAACTCAGAGGCTCGATCTACGATCACTTTACCAGTTGTCAACTCAGGATTTTCCCTGGTGCTTCATCACAGAGGAAAGATCCTTATCACATGTTCTATTCAATCACTTGGCCTATCAAGGTGATTTGGGAATACTGTTCCAAAAGTCCTACAATTTTAATAGCTCTCAGGAAAAATTAAAAGTGTCAGCATCTACTAGAAGTCTGCCAAGACAGTTTTGAAACCAGATGACAGGTAATTTCCTCAGAAGGGTTTAGTGCCTTTAAAATGTGACAGGCCACTTTTTTGGTATATACAATGAGCTTTTCGTGAACTGGGCTATTATCAACTTTCTCCCCACTAAGCTTCTGTAAACACCAAGAAATTTAAAAATAAAGTAAAAATTTCTAACTGCTCTTCTCCTCTGTTTCATGATGGTTCCAAGATACTTTCAAAGGACAGAAAAAAAATGCAAGAAGTCAAAAGGGAAAGGGAAATGGGGGGACTAGATAATCCATAAACTGGGTAATCAGACTGGTCCAGTTAGCATAATTGCGAGTTCTTTTAGGGTGAGCTAAAAATGAAGTAATAATATTTTAGGCAACTCTATAGTTTGCAAATGGATAATGCACTCGGCTGCTACAACTGAAAGGTTGGAAGCCTGAGTCCACCCAGAAACACCTTGGAAGAAAGGCCTGGTGATCTACTTCTGAAAAATCAGCCACTGAAAACCTATGGAGCACAGTTCTACTCTTGCACAGATGGGGCTGCCATGAGTTAGAATCAACTCAACGACAACTGGTACTGGTATAGTTTGCAAAGCTCTCACATTGCAATCTCATTTAACCTGCATGGCAACTCTTATGCTAGTTTGACAGATGAAGAAACTGATGCTCAATGAGACTAATTCATTTGGCCAAAAGACAAGGGTCATATGTGGTACAGCCAGAATGCGAATCCTAGTATTCTGATATCATATGTACTGTGTGACTAGGAAAAGTGTTATTTTTCATTTTCTTGGTAAAGAGTATGCATTTTTAAATGATTAAATCAGCCACCAGCTATGCATGGATGTGGCTGAGCAATTTTCCAATTTCACTTACTGGTTTCATTTACTACACTTAATGAAAAGTCCTCTATCTGTTCTTAGTCTGGGACTCTCCTGATTACACTGGCGACCAGATGGTTTCAACAACTCTTGGGAGATGGCTATGTCTTCATCATTAATCTCCTCCCACTGCCTCAGCAAGTTTCACATTATTTTGTATCCTGTCTACCCATATACTTTCTCTCCTTTCTCCATCCTTTGGCTCACAACCAATAAAGAAAAGACTCTGCACTTAAGATGCAATCTCCCACTTAAAGGCACTCTGCCCTCTGAGAGATTCTAAAGATTTCCAAATAAAGAAGAAGCATGTCAGACAGATCCCACCTCCCCCTTAACTAGACAAGCTATTTATCAGATGAAGGTGATACAGCAAATGTTAACACCTCATTTGAATTTGGAAGCAGCACGTAATCAAGTCATGAGATCTGTCAGAGAAGGTTGGAAGATGCAGAGAAGCTGGCATAAGCATCCAGGGGTGGAAGCATTGGATACAAAACAGAAAGCCGAACACACTTAATAAAAATAATTTTGTCCTACCTAAACGTATATTGAGTGGAACCTTTCCGGGCTATGTTTGGATTCAGAATATTATATTTATAAAGGAAGAAAATATTTGAGAAGGAAAATTCATAGAGGCAGCATGGTAAAGTGCATCACACAGATTAGGATTCAAATCCTGATTTGCTACTTTCTAGCTGGTGCTTGTCTCACGCTCCATCTGTTTTCTCATCTGTGAAATGGGATCTCAGTGTTCCTTTAGTGTGCCAATAGTCAAATACATTAATGCGTATGTAAGTACCTAGCCTGTTCCTAGAACCTCGGGTCACTGAACAAATGTTGGTTTCCTTATAATACACAATTCTATTATTAAAAATCTTTTAAAATGGCCAGTCTTCAACTTCTTTGCAGTTGGGCATGTGGTAAATCACTTTGCTTTAAATTTAAAGGGCAAAGAGTGTTCATGTGCAAGGAAGAAAAAAGAAAGACTGAGATTGAAATCCACCCTGGCAGCCCACAGGTTCACCCTTCTACAGCACTCGTCACTAAGCACCAGGTAATTGCACTTGTGTAAATGAGACATGGTTTACTCCTGTTCAGCACCAACAAGCCATGGTCAGCAAGATCACATGGGAAGAGAGTGGCCACTTTGTGGACCTTTCTCCTTGTCTTTTAAAACACAAGAGGGAGATATGGGGATGAGAGTTTTAATAAAACAGAAAACAGGAAATCCAAAATCTGTCTCCAAATCCTCCATAAGAGAAGTTACATTTTACAATAATAAACCTGGAAAGTTAGGCTTTCTACTAAAAGGGAAAAACTAAAACAAAACAAAATAAAACCCAGCAAACGAAACACTGACCACAATGGAACCTGGTTCACTGTGAGCTCCTTGAGAACTAAAATTATCTTAATCATCTTTGCAAATTCAAGGCCCAGAGCACAGTGCCTAGTATAAGAAAAAGATTTTATTACTAAGTTCAAATGAGAGTCATATTTATACCCTAAAGACAGGAACATGGCTATAAAATTAGAGTTGAACTTTATAAACACAAGTTAAACTGGAAGCTAAAAAAAACAAAACTGCATTGAAAATTTTAGTCATAATTATTGTTATGGTATATATTGGCATTGGTATTTTGGTAATTGGTGTGTGTGCATGTGTATAAATATATACCAAAATATGTTCACACACACACACGTATATAGGGTGGCGCAGTGGTTGAGAGCTCGGCTGCTAACTAAAAGGTCAGCAGTTTGAATCTACCAGTTGCTCCTTGGAAACCCTATGTGGCAGTTCTACCCTGTCCTATTGAGGGTCGCTACGAGTCGGAATCGACTCGCAGGCAATGGGTTTAGTTCAGTTTATATATATAAGTGTGTGTGTGTGTGTGTGT